GCGCGCGGCCCAGCGTCGGCCCCCCACCCTCCGGCCTCCTCGCCTCCGTCCTCGGCTGCGCCTCCTGCCACTCCATCCTGCCTCCTCCTGCCCCTCCATCCTGTCCCCACATCCTGCTCGGCCTCCTCCCCCTGCTTCTTCCTCCTCCTCCTCCTTCTCCTCCGTTCTCCCTCCTCCTCCTCCTCTTCCTCCTCCTCCTCCTCTTCCTCTCTCCTTCTCATCCCTGCTTCTCCTCCTCCCTTTTCCTCCTCGACGCCCTCCCTTCTCCCTCCTCCTCTTCATCCTCGTCCCTCCTCCTCGTCTTTCTCCAGCTCGCCTCCGCGGCCTGGCGGCCCATGTCAGAGCGCGCCTCGCGCTTCGCTGGAGGGTCTGGGTTGTTGGGAGCTGTCGTTCTTCGGAGCGCGGCGCGGCTGCGCAAATGCGGGGCGCGTCTTTCGCCTTGCGGTCTTGGCCAGAGGGCCGACCCGGACATGCTTTGCGTCGTGAAGAGTCGCGACGGCACGTTTTTGGGAGGCCGTTTTCGGCCTCCGGGGGCCATTGCAGGGGCCCTGGGACCGTCAAGGAACGACTCGGGATGAAGTACCGACCATGGGGAAAGGGCCAGGTGGTCGTTTTCTTAATCGTTGTTCTACCGATCGGCGCGGGTCCTCGCACCCCCCCCCCCGTGGAGTGGATCTTGGCTGTTCTTTGGCACCTGTTTCGAGCGGGTGGAGTCTCCCCCAGAGGCAGCACTCTTGCAAACGTTCGCACTCAGCAGAGGTCTGGAGCCAGACCCTCCCTCTCCCCCCCTTTTCCGCCAAATGTCAAACCGCCGAAGAAAAAAACGCTCACCAGGGCTTAAGGAGATCCTCTTCTGAAAACAACGAGGCGTCGGAGATGTGGGGACCTTCTCCAGGTGGCGCGGGAGTGCCTCGACAGGCGCGGCTCGCGCTCTGCGTCGCTGCTTGGGCTGGGGACGTGTCCTTCTCTCCAGGTGGGCGGCGCGAGAGTGCAAGCGCATCAGCGCCCGTCGCGCTCCACGCAGCGCGAAGGGCGAAGTTGGGCGACTCACCTCCTCGAAAGCTTGGAAAGGGGGCGAAGAAGATGGGGAGGACGGAGAGGAGGGAGGAAAGAGGAAGAGGGTGAGGGTGAGGGAGGAGGGTGTGGAGGTGGAGGTGGACTAGCCTTCGCTCGTTTGCTGCTTAGGCTTCGGCCGAGTCTGGTCGGCTCCGCGCCATCTTTGGAGCCTGGCGAGGCTCTGTCTTCGAGAGTGCGTCGTTCGCACAGGACCGTTCCAGGCTGCTGGGCCACGCGAACCCCACTCTGACATCCTCGGCAGGATCTGCCCGAGGAGGCCTGACTCCTCCTGGGCAGGAAGGCCAGGGCCTCGAGACGTCTCCGGAGGGCCTCGGAGGTCCCCTGGAGGCATCTGGGTGCTCCTCCGGAGTCCGCGCACGGGGTGAGCACGTCCAGAGACCTCGATCCTCGAAGAGGGGTGGCATTGGTGTCCAGGGGCCGGGCTCATCTAAGGACCCCCGAGCAGTTCCTCGGGGACGTCTTCCGCTGGTCCCCGAGGGACCACGCCGATGCCCTGGTCGTGTTTTTGGCCTGCCTTTGGCTTGCTGTCCGAGTACTTCTCGCAGGTCGTCGGCTCGGCATTCAGCATTCGCTCAGTTTTCGTTAGCCTAGCTTTGAGGTTATCGGCAGCTTGGATTTGGCTACTGTGTTGATCATTCGATTTCAGCTGGTCAGCATAGTCCTGCTGTTGTCTTACCTCCAGTTTTCTTTTTGCCTACTTCGCTCTGCGGTCTCATGGATCCTGGTATCGCCTTGCAACTCGATTGTTCTGGCTTGCCCTTGCCCGGTCTGTAGCGGTCTCGAAAGATCCAGCTTGGCTGGTTTCCCGCTTGCGTTCAGCCGACATTCAATTAACCCCTAGCTTTCCGTTCGCTTGCTTCCAGTTTTGTTTTAGTGCGCGGGTGAAGTATCCTCGAGGTTGCCGTGGGCAATCTTGAGAGACTGCCATTGGTCGGGGTCGCGCCGAGTTCGTACCGGCTCCGCGGTATGCAATGAGATAGCTTTAGCCAGCCACGTGTGTATAATGCTATGGGAAGGAGTGCGCGGGGAGTGGTGGATGTACCACCTTGCTTTCTTGGGCGGGAGGGGCAGGGGCAGGAGGAGTGGATTATGATGATGAGGGTGCTGCTGCTGATGATGATGATGCTGCTGCTGATGATGATGATGCTGATGATGATGATGATGATGATGATGATGATGATGATGATTGTGGTGGTGGTGATGATGCTGATGATGCTGACGGTGATGATGATGGTGATGCTGATGATGATGAGGATGACGGTGATAATAACTACCATGATCATGATAGTGGTGTTGATGGTCGCGATTACGATAATGATATGATAGTGATAAATATGATGATGTTGATGATGCTGATGCTGATGCTGATGCTGATGCTGATGCTGATGCTGATGTTGGTGATGATGATGATGGTGGTGGTGGTGGTAGTGGTGGCAATTACGATGACGATATGATCCTTGTGATGATGCTGCTGATGATGATGAGGATGATTATGATGATGCTGATGGTGATGCATGTGGCGATGGCGATAACGATGCTGATGCTGATGCTGATGCTGCTGCTGCTGCCGCCACCGCTCCTGCTGATGATAATGATGATGATGCTGGTGATGGCGATGATGATGCTGATGATGATCATGCTGCTGCTGATGCTGATGCTGATGTTGATGGTGGTGCTGATGCTGCTGATGATGATGATGACGCTGATGCTCATGATGCTGATGATGCTGATGCTGATGCTGATGACGATGCTGCTGATGATGATGTTTATGTTGTTGTTGATGATGATGATGATGCCGGTGATGATGATTAGGTTGATGGGATGATGATGATGATGATGTTGATGGTAATGTTGATACAGCTGATGCTGCTGTTGCTGATGATGAATATGACGAAGATGATGAAGATGAGGAGGAAGAGGAGGAGGAGGAGGAGCCGCAGCAGGAGGAGCTCGGCAACGACTATAAAGGTGCCAGGTCATCGGGGGATGGCGCGAGTTGACGACGGCGCTCCCGCGCCCGAGTCCCAGCAGACTCAGCCTCCACCCGAGAGCTAAACCCAATCAGTGCAAGGCCACGCTGAAGGTGGACCCAAGTCCCAGCCCAGCCAGTCCCACCCCCCTCGACGATGAGGCCAGAGAAGCCCTGGACCGCGGCGGATCGAGCGAGGGCGGGTCAACTTGGCCTATCGCTCCGACAAAACTTCTCCATCTACCCCAAAGCCTTTCTTGGAGGGATGGCGGCCCTGCAAAATCCAGGCCTTTTGCCTCTCGCGCCCAGCCGAACGGTGCCCAACGCAATCCTGAGAGAGAGAGAGAGAGGGAGATCGTGCCTCCATGCCCCCCTACGGGATAAACGGAACTAAAGGCGGCACAAAAGGCTAAAACGCCGTGGGAAGCCCCATAATCATCCGACACCGAAGCTTCCAAGATGGAGTGGCCTCTGGCAGGCCATACGTGGAGGGCGGGCCATTCAGCTCTGGCTTCTAAGCCCGAAGCCTCCAAGATGGAGTGGCCTCTAACAGGTCACTCGAGGAGGTCGGGCCCATCAGCTCTCACCGCTTCACCACAACCCTCCCCATCCCCACACTGCCGACCCGTCCCACCACCCCCAGGAGGCGAAGGATCAGAAGAGGGGGGAAGATACAATGTGAGATGCTTCAGCCAGTCAATGCTGACATGATCAAACTGTTTGCTGTCACACATCCTCGCCTCCTGCTCCGCCGAAACCTGCAGAGCAGTCTGTCAAGCTCGAAACGATTGTCAACCACAGCCCGGTCGCCGTCAGAAATCCCCCCTAGGGCAGCTTTACGCTTCGCATACGTGTCAGCAGCCTTGTTGCCAACGTACTCCAGCCGACTGAGCTCGTCGCTCTCCACATTCGGCGGGGGCTTGGGAATTCTAGACGCTTCGCGTAACCCCACCAGAGGTAATTTAGTCGCGTCCGCGGCCCGTTCGCGACCTCCCGCCGCTGGCGCTTCCGCCTGCGGCTGTAAAAAAAAGTAACCCCACCAGGTCGACAGTGACTGCTGGATTCGCAATTATTTAGCTCTGTGCCCCAGACGCCCTGATTGACCCGCCCGCTGGAATCGTCCTTTTGGGCCGCAGATCAACAAAAAGTAACCCCACCAGCTGTATGCTATGTCCTGGCCGCTATGACATGTTCCTGGGTTTGGTTTCGGTCTCATGCTTCACACGTGCAGACGGCCGTCAACCGCTCCTGGCTCCTGGCATTCACGCTGCCGGTTTGCACCGGCAGTTTTGCATGGTATCAGCCTGGTTCAGTTGTGGTTGGTTTACACGCGTTTGTACGGCCGTCAGCCGTTCCTGGCCTTCGGGTGCTATGCATTGCCCTGGTCGCTATGCCATTCCTGGGTTTGTGATGGTCTCCTCTGCGCACGTGCAGACGGCCGTCAGCCGCTCCTGGATTCCTTATCCTGGCACAGTTAATTACTTTCGTGACAAGTGATGTGTGGAAGCTACTAGCATCGGCATCCTGGCCTGCGATTCCTGCATTTCCCCACCAGCCTGATTCAGTTTGGCCTGGCAATTTGATGCATGTCGGTGATGGTGGGCCGCTTCCGACCTCCTGGCCCTGGCGCCCCCAGCTCACTGCAGCGCAACTCGGCGGCTTAGGCAGCTTAGGTTTGACCCCGCGCTCTAGTTTGCTGCTCGCTGTAAATTAGTAAGGACCGCGCCCCGGACTGACCGACCCGCCGCCTGCGCCTTCGCTTGCGGCCGCGACCAAAAAAAGTAACCCCACCAGCCCCCTCACGCCGGCCCGCCCGCCGAGGCGCTGCTGAGGTCGCCGGCCCGTCGGCGTTAGGCAATTCGGTTTTTGCGCGGCCCGCTCGGACCTGACTCGCCGCTGGCGCCCTCGCCTGCGGTTGCGACCAAAAAATAACCCCGCCAGCCTTGGGCCAGGA